TCTTTTTACTTCATTATAAATTTTAATAGAAGAAATTCTTTTGGATAAATCGCATCATAGCCGAGTATATGTGATATTATTTATTTTGGTTAATATTTTATATAACTTCATCATGTATAATTAGACATATTACTGAAATTTGAAAATTTTCTTTTTGAAAACAAAAAATATCAAGATTAAAAAGGGGGAATCAGCACCAATAACTATTAAAAAAAAAAACTAGAAGATCGACAAAACAGAAAATAATATCGATGTTGGATATTCATATTGATTTGCATGTCTTTGGGATTGGAGTGAACCAATTAGGACTTTGAAATCTGAATTTGAAACCAACTTTAATCTTCAGGCCCATTTTTAGCCCTAGCCTGCTAACTTCTACTAATGGGCCAGACCTGCTTTTAGGCTTCTAGCCCGTTTAATATGTTATCTATTTTGCTATAAATTTGTTATTTTGTAAATAACAAAATGAAATACTAGACTAGTTAATTTTACTAGTTAAGTTTAATTTTGTTTCTTTCTGAAACATAAAGTCTACAGATACAGGTTACAATAGCTTCGATACATGTGGTTAACTGATAATATTCTGTAAATAAATATTATTATGCTTTATGATTATAAAGATTTGATATCCACGATTTATATTTACTTGTGATCACTCGAGAGTGAGGACCACAGCTCCAATTTTACTAAAATATATCTTCATTTTGTTATTAATATAATAAATACGCGACAAAATCTTGTTTTTTTTTTACTAGAACGAGATTATAGATTAGTGACAGTGGCAATAAATATTGACCCCCACCGAATTTTAGTACATGGAACCTCATGCATGCAACTACTTTGCTTTAAAACTCTTTTCCTTTTGCCTCATGGGACCACATAAAACAGTATCTGACGCTAATTACAATCATTAAACATAATCGAGGAGATCAATTATTGGATTAAGCCATTAAGGTAATCTTAAAAATTGCAAATTGTGAAAAGGAAAGAACCTTAGACGATGGTGGACGTTGTCTTCATGTTAATATTAAAATGTTGATAACTTAGGTTTAAGTACCAAGTTGTAACATAGAAGAACGAATCTGCATGACGTAGAGCGACCAAGTTTTGATTTGTGTTGTTTAGATCGGACACGTTATTGACAAAAAAGAAAAAAGATCGGACTCGTTAAAATTAATTACCAACCTACTGTCTTATTTTGGTTGTTTATAACTAATTTTTTTTTTATATATATATAAATTGGTGACCAATTAGATTAGATAGTGCAAGAGCTAGGCTATAGGCTTTTAGCTAGGGAAAGTTTTTTCGAACCACAACGCACGATACCATAAAGTTCGTGAACCATATGGAATATATTGCGCATAATCGTAGAGTTTTGTTGGGTCTCAACTTTACAGAAAAACTTAATAATGTCAGTTATTTGAAACTATAAATTGTTTGCG